TTCGAATTCCTGAGATCTCGGCAATGCGAAGTATATGAAAACTTACTATTTTAAAGAACCTTCTAAAAATATTGATTAACTTTCCCAAAATTAAAAGAAGTAGAAAAATGCCATCAATATCACTTATCGTATCAGACATATTTATGAACAGCTGGGAAGATATGGCTCCTATAACATTCAATCCTACTCCGAAAATACAGTGGAGATATGTGGAGGACACTTTCATAGTGTTAAAAACAGAACGTATCTCTAGCATCTTGACACATAAACTCACTATTAGAGGGAATAAAATTCACATTTGAATCGAAAAATAAACAAGGAGAATAAGCTATGTTAGAATGTAAGATAAAACGAATGGAAGAAGGTAAACTGCAAACCAGCATTTATAAAAAACCAAAGCATTCTAATAGATATTTAGACTTTAATTCGTCTCATCCGTTAACTGTTAGGGCAGGCTTAGTTAAGTGTCTAACAAACCGAGCAATAGCACTAAGTTGTATGAGCAAAGACCTAAATGATGAAATAAAACGTATAGAAGAAGCACTGGTATCAAATAACTACCCACTTTACATACGACTGCAATTCAGGGTGATATACCAAGTGACGTAATTACGAAGAAATTAAGAAAATCAGTTCAAAGGACTTTTAATGCTGGCGAACTACACGTATTATTCTCTACACGACCGATGGTGCTACATCGACTGAGAGATGAAGTACCTAGACTAGCCACTTCAGATTGTATCTACCAATTCAACTGGGCTGAAGCGGTTGGTTATATCGGCCGTTGCTCTAGAAACTTGATTTTTCGTGCTCGAGAACATATCCCACTATGGCTAAGTAAAGGTGTAGTTAAAACCCTTAGCATTTCGATATTGGACCATTTAGTGCAAACCGTCCACAAAGCCAGTGTGGGAGAATCCTTCTCTATAATTTACCGGGTGCCTAATAAACTGCCATAATCATCGAAGCACCGCATGCTCAAAAGCGTAGAGGCTGTTGCAGGTCACCTCAAACAACCGGTGCTGTAAAACAAACGACCCTGTCGGTTGACCCAATTAGAGAAAATAATATAATTTATAAAATACCCTGAAATGACTGTGAATGAGGTCAACTACATAGGTCAAACTAGTAGGTCGGGGGTGGTCAGGTAGTTGGAACATAAGAATTTAGCTAAGGTAAGAATGTTTGACCCCGAGAAGATAAGTAATTTAGAAGAAAGCTCAGCACTGCATGCATTAACACACAACCACACAGTGTGGTGGGAAAGGTTTAAAATTCTAGGAAGTAATATAGGAAGGTAAAGAGGGAGGTTCATTACTCAATCCTTGTTCATCGAGTCTACACCCATCACATGCAACAGAAATGACTCAATACAAATACCAGAAATGTGGAAGATATTATTACCGCCGGTCAAACCAGAAGAGGATAATAAATAATCATAAAATTCTATTTCAATTCAAAGACATCACAGCATTCTAACAAATAACCTATTGTGACTATAAAAACACTCGTCGTATTTCCCATCTGATTGTAATTAGTCAATAACACTTGTATTATTATTTCTGAATGTACATTATCTCATATTGATTTTTGCTCCAATATCTAATCGATTCCACACATGTATATAAATGAAGAAAAAAAGTTATGTGAGTAATTTGATATGATTATGAGCAATAGTCGTGTTCGAAAAGTCGTCAGTTAATATTACTGTACAAACTGTGATTTATCAAAATAAAATCTTATCCGTAATTGAGTTAGACTCAACCACAGTGCCCAAGTTTTATACTTATATCAATCGCAGCTATCGGTCAGAACGGGCTCCTAGATGTCTTCGTGATTCCGAGTGGTGTTTTGATTCGTGGGATACACCTACTAGACTCTCCCCTCGCAGCCAAACGATGTCAGAGCACCTCTTGGTCAACAAAGATCAGAGGCAGACATTGTAATCTGAGCTACAGTTGAGAAGCTGGTGTCAATATCCCACACAGGTAGGTGTTGGATGCTGTTTAAATGTAGCATGGTTATAGGCCAGTTAAACCCGCACCGTTTCAATCATCTATGCTGACAGCTAATTAAGGCGCCACTTTTCTCGTATATTGTGACGCTCAACATTTGTCTTTTATGATCTTTCTCACTAATGAGCCTAACCAGTTGACTAGTGTTGCCTATTGCCGATGCCTTTTCCGTCTCTTTCACTTTTGTCATCAACCAGTGTTCGCAGTCACTGAGGAAACTTTGGGTCAACTTACGTTTGAGCAGCTTTCGCTCCTTGTCATGTTCGAAGTCCAACGGAATCAGCCTTCTTGGGAAGATCAATTCGGATGAAGCGATAGAAATCCATTGACACTTACTTACCTTTCGTTTTTGGTTATCAAGAGCCTATGCTGTTGTTTTTACAGCTGACTGAATATTATGACAGCGTTCTTCAGCATGAACCTTGCTGTGAATCTCAAATACGGGTTAACCTATATGTCCCTTCAATATAGAATTAGTGTTCTCATCAAGTCCAGAGCAAAACAGCTTGATTGCTGACTGTTTTCTATGTCAATCCAAACGTGCACGGATTAGGACGTGATTGGATTCTACGTAAGTGTTCGAGAATGATTAGCAATCTTCTACCGACTCTCAGGAACGATGGCTTACCACTATGTGGTCTATTTAGGTCGGTCGTTGGTTTGATTATGGATGTCACCAGGTTAGGCGATGTCTTATCAATATATGTGTAAAACTTGGGCTCTATGGTAGTAAGTAATTCCATATTAGTCTGTTTGTTAGATGTTTCACTGTGTGATACATCTAAGAAACAAACTAATATGGAATTAGGCGATATCTATCGTTATTTCTGAAGTTGGTGCTGATCAGGAAGAGATATTTGGACAGAATAGTAGAAGACGATCGCCGTTATCGGTTTGTTTGCATAAAACTTCATAGGTGCTGCTAAAATACTTGTTTAACTAGCATAACTCCCCCACTTTATCATTGAAATCATCCGCTAAAAGGACTATAATATGGAAATTTTGCTTTAAGCAGTAAACTGGACAGTTTTTGATAAACTTATCCTTCACTTTGTCAGAACTACAGTCTGTTGGGACATAGGCGGAGATTACACGAGAACATCAGCGTGTATCACAATCTTTCTTTCGTCTAAGGGATCTGTTCAGTAAGATATACGACTATTCAAATGGTGATTTCTTTGCCCCAACACTGAAAGCTATCCCTACACCTGCAAGTGATTGTGAACTAGCCAAAAATACTCATGACGCCCTGTTGGCCAGGTAGGGTTATGTGAATAACCACACGGGTCCTGTTAGCGTGTCCCCGAAACATAACATATATCAATGGGTCAAGATTGCAGGGTTCTGTTGTCCTATTGGCAAAGGGTTCTGACGTTAAATATTCTAACACGAAGTTAACAGTGGTTTTAAGAGATCATCCTGGCACATTTTATGCAACATGATATGCTCCACACAAAATCTCACAGTTTATGTGAGGGCTGGGATACTGATCGAACGCCTAGACCGAAGCATCTTTAAACTTTGATTTGAAGTTCGAACCACCAGGAAGGGGAGTAGGGTTTCCATTGTCGCCAGTGGCCAAAACACTTCCATACACCTTTCGGATTCTGGAGTTTATATACGCCAAATGTTGGGAGTCAGGGTTCGCTAGCTCCCCTAGGTAAATTCACATATCCACAGGTGTGATTGTAAGTAACATACGTTTTATGAGGAACACCCCACCACATGAAGGCAGTAAATAGGCTACATTACAGTGAGAACAGAAGTAGTTTTTCCGACTGTCGTCTCTATCAGTGATCGTAGAGTTAAGAGATGAAAGAAATGCCTGTAGGATAGCTTTAACAGTAGGAGTAAGGTTAGATGATGAAAGTAGTGAATGTGAAGGTGGATAATGGTCAGGAAAGCTTTACTCTTACAGGATTGTGTGGGTAATCAATACTGTTCTAATTGATACTGAATTAAATGAGATCCGTAGTCACTTTGTTCTTTCTGCGCCTGTCTAATATGCCTATATGACTGTGATACCTTCCGATTCACTGAGCCACGCAAATATCAAAAGACATAGGCTGGCCTATGACTGTATATTGTAATCACAACAACAACAACAACCAAAATTGGGAAAACAACACTTAATATTTATACATTTTCTTTACAACAATAAAGTCGCGATCTCGCAGCCGTGACGAATGGTTGATCGCATAATTATTCACAACATGAGTGAGAGATGATGATAGACTACTTTGTGCGGGATCCCATCAAATATCTCATAGCCAGTAACATTATGGTAGGTGATTTCTTCCCCGGGCACTTGAAACAGAAAAATCACTAGTGTTGCATGACGTCAGCGCTCAGGGGATAACTACTTGAGCCTAGTCACGCATAACCTCTTTGAAGTGGTTTTGCAGTTACGCCCACATTAAGATCTTATATCCAGCTACAGATTGGGATGTACGACTTTGGGGGCCAACGTTTTCTTACGCCTCATCGCTAGAGAAGAGAGACAGCATATATATGATGGCCATCTAAGGGAAAAACCTAACTGCTGTTACATTCTTATTCGCTAAAAGTATGACAATGCCCACAGCCTCTCCAACCTAATGTTAACTGCTTTTAGTTTAAACGCTAACCAAACGACCTTTCTAATATGGTAAGACCTGTGGAAACATTAGTTACAGCCAATGAAGTTCATTGAGTCAATGATATATGCAAGCTCGACCACCACCTCAAAGTAGTAGCTATTGATGGGAGCATTTTGCATGTAAGAACATTCTCAGCTAAAACACATGGATGATACACAACTGATATGACTAGATGGGAAATACTCCGGTTAACCAATCGACAGTGCTCGCTGATGAAACAGAAATGATTTAAACACAGAAAACCATGTTACACTATAAAGCATAAAACATGTACAACGCATGACGATTACTAACAGACATCTGGCCGTACTTACCTCCACAGGAGATGCAGAGTTTAAGCCCTCACAAACAACGTAGTGTTTCTATAATATGATTCATTTATGCGGCAATAACATTTTCAACATGGCATTATCCTTTAAAGTATTGCACTTAAGTAAACATTCCTTGTTGGTATCCCCTAATTACCACAGAAAGTAACTAAAGGAAATAACTTTCCAACTATCTTTGAGAATAAAAAGTTGTATAACCGATAAAAGCACTAACTTCTGTGTTAAAATTTAGAACAAACACTTTGGTAGACAGGAAATACAAATAAATAAAATACCGGAGTAAATTAATGCATAGTTTACCCACATACTTAAAAAAGCAGTAAATGTGGAACTAGTTGACATTAACCTGCACATTTCAGGTTTCATTTGAAAAAAAAATTAGATTTCATAGATTGTCGGTTGAATAGGGTGTAAAAATCTGAGTATTGAAAATTATTGATAAAAAATAATGACTGGTAACACAGGCATATAATTGCAATTGAAGTAGGTTCATAAAAAGTAAATCTACAATTTCTTATTTAACAGTATCATTGCCAGAACCACTGCCACCATATTTCAACAGTAGAATGCATTAGTATTTAGACAGAGAAAAAAGTAAATAAAAGTCAAAACAGAAAAAACATTTGCGCATTACATATAAGTTGCACGAAGGAAGGTATGTAAAAGATACAAGTCACCAGTGGAATAAAAGATCCAGAGGATAGTAAGTAAATTAGGTAACATAATAACAAACAGGAATAAAAAATACATTTTGAAGGGAAATAAAGAATACTAACAACCTGTACATATACATGGAGATCACATTGACATTGGATACGGATCAGTATAGTTTAATGACATGGCTTAAGTACAGTGCAAAAGATACAAAATGCATTAACACCGACCTTATCAACAGAGATCACGTCTATGCTGTAGAATAACACTAAAAAAATATTTATATGCATTTGTGCAACAGTAGTGATTTTTTCCAACAAACAAGTTAATCAGTACGTAGGTACATAAAGTTTTCTGACTGCAAATGTCGTTGTTGTCTCTTGAAAATATATCTATACAAAATCATCCATCTCGTTAAGAATAAACTCCATAGCCGTGTAGCGAAATTCTGGTGTACACCAACATTCTAATAATTTCTTACACTCGGTATTAATGACATACTCAATACGTTCACGATGCTGCATTTTAATCATGCACTTGGTTATTTCCATTGCCTAAAAAGAAAATGCAATCCCCCCCCCCCGAAATGAATAAAAACAAATTAGTTTATAATGTTTTCAAAAGCATAATTACACAAATACTTTAAGAATGACAGGTACCGGAAATCGGTGGTCGGTAGGCGATTTCCTAGGAAAAGTAAACGGTGTCCTTACTGTGCTTACGAACGTGTGAAACTAAGGTCACTGTTATCCATCCTATCAAACAAAAAGTGATTAATACCAGCAAGTTAAAAGAAACAAAAGTGTGGGACGCAAAGCTAGAAATAAATTAATTTAATATACCTCTTCTAAAATGAGCACTCCATGTAAACACTATGATATGAGCTACAATTGACGCTTATGACATTACTACGTATATTCACCTAAATGAGTCGGAAACTCTGGTCTCAAACCAATGGCGCAGATGAATTCTAGAGTCTGTAAGGGACAAATAGTGTATGGACCTGTTTTGGTCGTCCGCAACTGCAGCTCCTAAAACTGCTTCGCTGCTTTGTGCATCAAATTTTAAATGAAAGGCTGGAGGAGTGGTACCCTAAAACAATCATCACTTTCTATCTGGGTCTCCAGGTCTTCAGATAAAGTACGAAATGTTAATCCAACGGGAAGAGCAACTCATCTCTACGTTTTTGCCAACTACCGAACCTGCTACTTGATTAGTGATGCAACCAGTCATCTAATCCACTGTCATTATATTTTTATTTATATTGTTATTATATTATATTGTTATTCTGATATACTGTCTTGTTTTGTATTTATTACCCTTGAGTTCTTTAGTATTTTTATTTACGTCAACTGTCCATTGTCTTTAGAAGTTTCAGTCTAACTGCATTACTAAGAGTTGTTAATTAGCTGCCATAGAGGCGTCGCAAAGGTTCGAATAAAAATACTTCAAACCACACAATCTGGCTCAGTGCCTGAGAGGCCTGGTCTATCTCAGTAGTGACTCTGGGTTAAATCACCAGTGTCCCTATTAAACTGTTTGCATTCCATGGCGTCACCGTGTAAGTAATTCTGCGGTGCAACGTATTCTTCGATGGAATGATGATCATCTCTCACAACCATCTTCGATACCTACGACATGTACTGTGAATGTTTTTTCTACCAGCGTACACGTCGTTCACTGTTTGAAAATACAGGAGATGGACAATGACAGCACAAGTGATCAACCGATGATGTGGTGCTGTGGAGTGAAGGACAGCTGTATCATGCAACCATTTGTTAGTGAATCAGTACTCCCTCATTTGGGTCAACGAAATCATGAGACTCATTGACTCGAGGCGTCAAATGTAGTTCAATGCTTAATAGGCAACAATCTTCTTCCTTCTCTTTCGAAAAGTAACACAAAGTAATGAAGACCTTTGTGAAGGCTTCTAATGAATATGCTTACGTTTTCACATTGATAAAACATCATAATTTATATTCTCTTCTCCTAATAAAGCTACTTTATTCTCGTATGTACAGCACATCTTGGTGTCCAGTCTATTCAGCTTATATCTCAACTAAGAACACAAATTAAAGAGTGGAATTCGTTACTGATAACACATGGAATTTAAGTTCTTAGAGCAATGAGCCATTGAAGGTCATGAATACCAAGACGTATATGCATCAGTTTGACCACTTTGACATCATTCATAATACTGTTGGGATAGACAATGTGTGGACACAAACATGCCCCGGTTACCTAACAATCCCATCAATTGACTATCTACCTCCTAATAATACTCTATTCTTAAACATCACTTAGTTCATATAAAAAATGTAGACAAACATAATGATAATATAGCAATCCTGGTCAAACAAATAAGGCTTTCACAAATCTTGTACCATCTCCGACAATTTTATACAACCAAATAAGTACTCGAGAACATGGATATACGTAAAAGTCAACCTAAACTTTTGTATGATATAATTTCGCCAGCCATCAACTGGTGAAACTGACTACTACATTCGTTATACCGCACGATATATGACGTATTTCAACTCTTAAATGAAAAATCGAATTAAAAAGCTTAATCATAATTTCAGTGTTTTGGATGAGATCCTGAGGGTTCAGAATATTCTGTTTGTGATCAACTTTGTCGCCTTACAAGAGTACGACGTCGATTAAGTAATTTCAAGATAGTTGAAGACCCATAAAAACAGGATGCTTAGCGGATATAATTATAAAACTTGGGCGCTATAGTAGAGTATAACTCTATTATTTTGATAAATCACACAATGTTGCACAGTAATATTAATTGATGACGTTTCGAGAACAAAGTATTGCTCATAATTATATCAAGTCACTTAAGCTAAGTTTTGTTTCATTCATATAAATGAGTAAAATTGACTAGACATTTGAATAAAGTCAATATAAGATAAAGTACATTGGGAAATAACATAAGTGTTATGAATATAATACAATAAGATGGGAAATGATATGTTTTTATGGAAGAATAACTTGTTAGAATGTTACAATGTGAATTGAATACATTTTAACATTATTTATTGTCCTCTGATTTGACTGGTAGTAATATGTTCCATATATGTGGTATTTGCATTGAGTCAATTTCTGTTGCATGTGCTAGGTGTACAGTCAATGTATCAGGATTCAGAAATCAATCTTTTTCCACCTACCTATATTACCATTTAGAATTTCGAATCTTCCCCACCCTAGTGTGTGACTGCGTGTTAATGCATGTAGTGAGATTGCTGAGTTTTTTTCTAAATTACTTATACTCATGGCATCAATCAATCTAACCTAGGTATGCTACGTTTCTTGTTCTTTACTTCATAATTTTATGGTGAAAATTTCTCACGATTTGAAAGTAGATTGCCCATATATGATGAGAATTGCATGATATAGGAAGTTCACAAAAAAATCCCTGTTATCTCTACAAGCACTACACACATCTGATAACAGAAGGTTTCTACAGATACTACCATACAGGAAGAGTGTTGAGATAATGATTAGACTAAAAGGAGTTACCGGAATAGTCTAAGATTTTATTTTCACTATGCTGGGATCTGGTGGCGATGTCGTAGTGCTAGGAAAAAGGGATAAAACAGCAGTAAGATGGTTCCCTCGGATGACCAACATGCCAGCCATGCTAGTGTGCAAGGCCATGAAATCGTCGCCCCACTTGATCCCAGCAGATGCTTGCATATGTGAGGCCCGATAGGAGAAGGTATGACATCGTTAAGCGTTATTGTCTTTTCGTAGTCTCCGCTCACGCCCCAACTGACTCACACCAGTTCGGATGAACTAAAGGATGACTTCCAATAGAAATTGTCTAGTTTGCTGCGAAAAGCAAAACGTTCAGATATATTTGTTTAAGCAGGCGAACTCAATACCAAAGTAGGGAAATTGTGCCAGACTGAGAAGTGCATAGGGTGTATTTACGGAGTTCCCTCTCGACGAAACGACAACGGCGATCGCCTTCTACAGTTTCGCCCAGATAATCATCTGTTCCTAGTCAGCACTAACTTTAGGCACAAACAGAGACAGTGTGTAACCTGGCGACCTCCATCACCAAATCAACGCTGGACTCAGATAGACCACATAGTCATAGGGTATCGTTTGTGAGGGTCAGTAGAAGACTGCCGCTCATTCTCAAACATGCGTGTAGACTCTGATCCCACCCTGATTCGCGCACGTTTATGCTTACGACTAAACGGATATATAAAAACTTGTTCGCGGCGAAGCAGTTACGCTCCCAACTACATCAAGACACTGAGTCCCTATTTAAGGAAGAAATAGCGAAACGGGTACCTGAGGTCTATAGTAAGACTCCTCCTGAGGAAGTCTGGGACAATAAACAGCTACTTTTTGACACAGTTGCAAAAGCGGGGCACTATGGTAGAGTATAACTCCATATCTCTTGATATGATTATGAGCAATAGTTTGTGCTCGAAACGTCATCAGTTAATATAACTGTACAACACTGTGTGATTTATCAAAATAAAATCATATCCATAATGGACTCCTTTATGGCTGCTAGTGAAACCTGACCATTGAGAGTGGAAGACGTGAAAAGATTAGCTGTCTTTGATAATAGGTGCCTGCGCTCTATCTCCTGTGTGAAGTGGTATAATAAGGTGAGCAATATCGAGGTTAGGCACTGGTCGAGTGCTAGGTAGGTGGGAGGGGAAATCAATCGACGAGGCTGTGAAATTACATCGACTGAGATAGTTAGGACATGTGTTACGTATGCCTAGTCATCGCCTTCCTCGACAATGGGTAATGTTAGCTAACATAGGGCCAGGCTGGAGAAGAGCTAGCGGAGGTCAAACCAAAACATGGCACCAGTCAATGAAATCTACAACAGTTAGTCTAAGCCACGTAGGAAGGTGTAGACTTCTTGGCTGGTTGGGGTCCTCGAGATGGTAAAAACTAGTGGTTTGGAAACTATTGGTGACATGGCTCAAAATCGTTCTCAATGCACAGCGCACATGCATCCACTCCTTGTGACTTATGATTTCCAACGAAACTGTTTTGTTCTTCGTTATTACTATTCCTTTGTCTCGCACCTCTGTTTACTGTCTCTATTTTGCGTTTCTTTTTACTTTCTTCTTCGGCTTAGTGTGGTGATTGAAGTGTGACGACTCTAATTGCTGCACATATGTCCGAAGTTCTACGTTGAAACCAGTCGATTAGTCAATGAAGTAAACTGGGAATAAACCTAATTTCAGGAGGTAAATTCGCAGTTTTTAAGTGTTTTCTGTAACAGTTAATATTAAATCAATAAAATAGCATGAACACACTTACCGTGCGCGAAGTTGCAGCCAACTTCTGAGATCGGAGTACTAATTCTTGCTTAAAATTCTTAGGAAAAATTATATCGGAAGCTAAACCTCGTTGCAATGCTTCACGCGCAGACAATTTACGACCAGCCAATAGTAACTCACTAGCCTGCCAAGAAATTATACAAAATCAAATAGAAATGCTTGATTTTATGTAGACAAATTGTTTTAGAGAAAATTATCAGGAAACGTTTAGAGAAAGACCTAGGAAAAGAAACAGAACCAATCAGTTCCTTTTCGTAAAACACAATTACTTATGTCAGTATATCTACGAAAAATCTTAATCAGAGTGGGGCAACACCAACCAACTTTATAGTTATCACTACCTTCCCTTCATGTTGATAAATGCGATAAATATTGGGTGCTGCTAATTCTGTCCATGTTTGATAACCTGTCGCTGATTAAAAATATGCATCTTGATTCCGTTCTAAATACTATCCTGAAGTACACTTTATCCATGAATAACTACGAATTCAGGTTCAAACATCATTTAAGAAAGATGGTTCATGAACTATAGTGATTAACCACCTAGATCAACTAGTCAGAATAGAGTTCGGTTTCACGCACGATCTAGTTAGTTTGACCACTGATTACTATCATCATTATTTCACCAATTAAAGCGTCAAACCTAATTTATAATACAGCGTAAATGCGAAATCAATAAAAAAAAAATTGGAAGGTAGATTGATCATACGACGAACAAAGATATAAAGAGGAAATAAAAACTTGATGGACTGCAGCAAGGGTGTTTAAGATTCCAAATATCACAGAGAACGACCAAATACTTACTATAATGATAGAATTTGCATTATTTCGCTGAGATTTCCCCAGTCGTTGACGTTCGGCATTCCGAGGACCCCGATCTCACTAAATTTCATCTAATTATTCTCTCTCTCGCACATCTTCGTCAGTTATACTTTCATAACATTTCTGCATACCTTTTCTGTGTTTCCCCAAAGTGAAGCAACCAGAACTGATATCACTTTATGCAAATTTTCGGGTTAATAAGTGGAAGCTTTTAGAGAGGACAGAGACAGTGAAACAGGATGAACAAGTTTAGAAAACAGAAGCTGACCTGAACAGAGAAGTGAGGAAGAGTGCTAGGAAATGCATAAGACAATTCTGCTACACATTGGTATCTGATGCAGAACAGAACGCAGGTAAGAGGAATCTCATACCACTATGCCAGATAACCAGGTCGTTATCCGAGAAGCAATCAACGCAGATGAAACCAATGAAAGATAGTCGACGAAACCTAACCAGTAAGAAGTTGGAACAAGGACAACGCCGGATTGATCACATCAAACGGCTCTTGAACCGACCACCTACTGTCAACCGTCCAGGTATACCACCAACAGCCACAGAAATACCAGTGAACACCATTCCCCCAACGAAACTAGAAACTTTGGATGCCATTAAGGCCTCCAAAGCCTCAGGATGGTCGGGGGTGGGTGCCTTGCGCTGCGGGTTGGCCACCCCTCCGCACACCTCTTGAAATGCTCCCATATGACCGGGCGTCTTACATAGCCTCTCCTGAGGAAGTCCTACTCACTGCCTTCACGTGGCGGAGGTGTTTCTCACTAAAGTGAGAGGGCAAAAGCGGATGCCCGGCGCTCTCCACCGGGTTGACTGTCCATTGGATGACAGTCTAGGGGAGATGGCTAAACCCTGATTCCAAACCTCCAACGACTGGCGTATGAAGCTCACTGGAGCTCACCGGCAGACGTATGGACAAAGGGCTTGTTGGATGTCCTGGATGTCTGGCCCCATTCAAAAAGGCGTATGAACCGAACTCCGGTCACCGGCTGCCAATGGATAGTGGACTCCTTACTCCACTCCTACTGCCTTGTAGGTCACACTTGGCTGTGTAAAGGCTAGAGCTGCACTCTCAAACAAAAGGCCGAGCGATGCTGGGGACATCACTCGTACCAAATTCCCATGAAGCTCTCTTACAAACAACTCTCACCATGCTACGGCGTTCCCGGTAAGCGACGCGCCCTGTGCTCACCCGGTGGCCAGTGTGAAAAGTAAGCTAGCTGGGAAATTAACACTTAGAAACCAACTATTTGTTGGCTGCTGGAATGTTAGGACGCTGTTGGATCCTGGTAGCCAGTCTATCACCATGCGTTCTTTATACGACTACAAGGTGGACATAGCGTGTCTATCTGAAGTGAGGTTACCCGATCATGGCTCCCGCCGAATAGCCGTACCTGGAACAGATTCTTCATTCTGGTTGCTTCATAGTGGACCCCAGAATAATTCGGGACAACATGGGGTAGCATTTGCTCTCAGTAACAAAGCCAATAATGCCCTAATATCATTCGAACCGGTCAACTCCAGAGTTGCAGTCGCTAGGTTCAAGGGTTCCCCGCTCGACATTTCTGTTCTCGCTGTCTATGCCCCAACCCTCGACTCTGATGAAAGTATCAAAGACGAATTTTATGACAATCTTCAAGAGGCAATCAACAAAATCCCAAAGCGTGACGTTCTCATAGTAGCCGGCGATTGGAACGCCCGCACTGGCCCTTCAGACGACGCGACAAAACATATACTAGGCAAACACGGTCTCGATCAGCGCTGCCGTAATGGTGATAGACTTTTAGCTTTTTCTGATTACAATCGATTATATATCACCAACACTCGATTTCAACACCCTAGAAAACATCTTCACCTGGTATTCGAACGACGGTCGCACTGCACATCAGATCGACTACATCCTAGTGCGCTCACGCTGGATCTCCTCGGTGGAAGACTGTCGATCCTATCGTGGAGCAGAGGCCGGAAATAAAGGGGGATCAGACCATACTCTAGTTAGGGCGAAATTCAAACTTCGTTTAACAACACGCCAGAAGGCGCGACCTCCGAAGCGTATCAATGTTGCCCCGCTTCAATGTTCGACAAAGCGACAAGCCTTGTCCAAACAAATCCAGGCCGAACTAAGCGCCGCAGATGAACCAACATCCACATCTTCTAATACACCTGAGACACGATGGAATCATTTCAAAGAAGTAGTCTCTAAAGCTTCAATGTCGCATTTGGGTACCACATCCAAGAAGCAGAAAGACTGGATTTCAGAGCACACCATGCTTCTATCCTCGCAAGCCAGAGACGCTCGCCTAGCAAAGTCTCCAGTTTATCGCTCCCTCAGGCGCAAAGCTACACAGTCTGCTAGGAACGACAGAAATCGCTATTGGTCTAACGTGGCGACTAACATGGAAGCAGCATCAAATGTAGGCGATTTCGGAAAACTTTATCGCCTCATACGCCAATCATCTGGCAAACGCCTTAACAGTCATGCTGTGTTACGCACAGCATCAGGAGAAATTATTTCGGACACCAATGGTAAGATGGAACGATGGGCCGAACATTTCAAGCAGCTACTCAATCGCAACGCTGGTCAACCGTCTCATCGACCGATACGACACTTACCAACACCCTACGTAGTTGACTGCGATCCACCCACTCCAACCGAAATAGCTAAAACAATTAACAGACTCAGAAACAAAAAAGCTCCGGGCGAAGATGGTCTACCTCCAGAAATATACAAGGCCTGCACTCCAGCGCTAATCGATGCACTGCACTCGCTGTTCTGCTCAATTTGGGAGTCCGAAACCATTCCTTCCGATTGGAGCACCTCAGTTCTGCTACCGTTCCACAAAAAGGGAGACAGGTCAATATGCGAGAACTACCGAGGCATAAGTCTGATTGATATCGCTGCTAAGGTTTTTGTTTCCATTCTCCTGAACCGCTTCGCGGCCGAACGCCACGTGCGAACAAGGCCAAATCAAGCCGGATTTCGACCTGGAAGAGGCTGTGTTGATCAATTATTCACACTGCGAAGAATTTTGGAACACAGGGACAAATTCCAACAGCCGACGGTTGCTTGCTTCATCGACTTCCAAGCGGCATTCGACTCAGTTGATCGAGGAGCACTCTGGTATCTAATGGAGCTCGACGGAGTTCCGACCAAGCTAATCAACCTGCTCAGGTCATACTACTCCAACACCAAAGCTCGAGTCCGAGTGAACGGTGAAGAGTCCCGCACTTTTGAGGTAACCAGCGGTGTCCGGCAAGGTTGTCCAGCATCCCCCATCCTGTTCAATTTCACAATTGATTGGATTTTGCGGCACGCCCTAACCGAGCACCACGGCGTCCAACTTTCGCCCGATATTCACATAACCGACCTCGAATTCGCCGACGACGTCGTGCTGTTAGCTGAAAACTTCCCCGATATGCAACAGGCGCTCGACCAGATAAACCACCTCGCGCCTACTATCGGTTTGAAAATTAACACTTCCAAAACCAAAATGTTTTCGAACACATCCACCAGCAATGATGAAATCTTATCCCTAAATGGAGCACCTATTGAAATTGTGCCATCCTTCAGATATCTGGGATCCATAATGCTCCCCAACGGCCAAGCGAAAAACGAAGTGAATGCGCGAATCTCCAACGCCCGGAATGCGTTTCTACAGCTGAGGAGCGTTCTATGGAGCAAGAGAGAAATCAGTCTCAGGACTAAAATTCGGGTCTACCAAGCTTCCATACGACCCGTTCTCCTGTATGGCTGTGAAACCTGGCCTCTTCGCGCGGAAGATTTACGCAGACTCGAGGTAGTAGACCATTGGTGTCTCAGGTACATTCTGCATGTTCGTTGGCAGGACAAACTCTCCAACGAAGAAGTGCGTCGTCGTTGCTACAACATCAACCAAATTCCAGTACTGGTCCAACAACGCCGCCTTCGGTGGTTTGGCCATGTTCTGCGCCGACCAGATGACGATCTGGTCAAATCAGTTCTAAATCCCTCGCCATTACCATCTTGGCGATGTCGCAGGGGTGGACAGCTGAAGACATGGCTTGGTACAGTCAAGGCAGATATGGAGTGCCTGGGGCTACAAACCGTCTACGGACTCCGTATGTGGAACAAGAATTGGATATCCCTATCGCAAAACCTTGCATCAGATCGCCGCGCCTGGGCAGCGATGATTCGAGACGTTCATGAAGCCGGCTCATCCTCCCGTAGGAGATAGCCGAAGTAAAGTAAAAAAGTAAGTATGAAGATACTAAGGACCAGAAAGGCTTCAGAACCAAACGGAACTTCTCCGAAAACAATGAAAGGAGATCCAGGGACCACACTATATATGGTCACGCTACTGGTGCAGAAGGTTTGGAACAAAGGAAAGGTATCCAACGGTTGGAAGATGGACTACCTTATCAAATGAATAAAGACTGGTGATTTAAACCTTTTCAAAATCCAACGCGGAATCATTCCACTATCTTCTCCAAAGAAAATACTAAGTAGTATCATTCTGCAGACTAAATGATGCTATGGATCCAAAACTCTCCGAAGAACAAACTGCATTACAACGCATCGACATCACCGAATACAGCGTACGAAGGTAGTCAAAGCTTCACACCACCTTTGTAGACTCTGAAAGCCCTTCAACAGCGTCAACCGTGAAATTATTTGGAAACGGCTTCAACACTACAGCGTGCTCGATTCTAATTAAACTTCATTCAACACCTATACGATGATACCCCACCGAAGCATTTGAAGTGAAGACAGGAGTGAGACAAAGCTGACTATTACCACTTAGGATATTCCTCCCTGTGGTGGACTGAATCATGTGCCAGACTGCGGGGAGCGAGAGAACAGGGAAAAGTTAGATCGATAATAAGACTCTTGAAGATCTGGAGTCCGCGGGCGATTTTCGTCTAATGTCACATAAATTCGAAAACTCACTGGCGAAAACCGAAAAGTTGACAGAAGAACGCAAAGAAGACAGAGGGGATGAAGATACCTAACCAACAGAAACCAACGTCAATCACAGTCAACAGTAGAAAACTTAAGTAAGTCACCTACTTCCGTGAACTAGGCAGCATCATTTCGACGACAGACAGACCTGATGTGAACGTGAAAGCTTCGACCGGAAAGGTAGGATCTTTACTACTTTTAAATCAGCGTGAAGCTATAAAGCACTAAGTAGAAAAACAAATATCTTGCAACAAAAAGGTTTAGTGCAGCGAACATGTAATAGCACGTTAACAAAGTGGCGAAAAAGGGCATGAAACACAGTGAATGACAACACCCTATGAAAAAAAAGTTTTAGAGTAACTTACCAAAGGCATACCTATGAGACTGCTTAGAGTATAAGTTGATGCTGCTTCAGGGATTTGGCCAAGGCGAGTGTATGGCATATAAAATGTGGCTGAATCACTAACGTAAACAATGTCACACAACGGTAATATAGCAACAGCGAGCCCCATAGCTGGACCGTTTACACCAACAACAATAGGTTTTGGAAATGATACTAATGATAACAGGAATGACCTTAAGGCTTTAACCAGACGTTCAATATTTTCAGGATTTAGAAATGAACTGAAAAACGAATTAACTTCATTTATATTTTTCTGGTTTGAAGAATTCGAATCCGAACTCGACTGAGAATGTGAACAACCAGAATGACTGACAAGAGTTGATTTGGAAATATCAATCCCAGCTTTTTTACCATTGTTTGAATTACGAGACGCGCATACATTACTCGAACTTGTAGATGAACTTCGGGAGGAATCACATGAATGTGGACCGATAAATGCATTTGTTAAAAGATCTCCGGTAATAGTAGTCAGGTCGATTCCAGAGCTGAACACAGTCCCAGATCCCGAAATCATGATCAGGTGGCTTGAGTCATAAGTTGACCGATTCAAAACCACTGTTAGCTCTTCAAGAACCTTAGGAATTTGAAAAATAAAGGGTTGTGAATAATAAATAATTGATTATACAAATAAAAACACAAGGCATTAAGAAAGCGGGGATTTAGGATGTCAAACAATATGTTCAATTTGTATTACCAACCTGATACACACTAACACACAACCAAGTATGGTTGCATACTGACACACTTCATACTGATGCAGAGAGGAAGGCTAAGCAAACAGGCAGAAGCGAAATATTAGTAGAAAGAAAACAAACGACTATGGGTACTCTACCCAATAAGTACACAAGCCGACGAAATCTCAGCACGGATACAGAGGGCTAGTTTCGCATATACCAGTTTACACCGTCTATGGCTTCGTAGACCTGATATCCGGCTGGCTGTCGACCAAAGGGAGTGCATACTGCTTATCAGTCCGCGCCGTCCTCCTTTATGGCTGCTAGTGAAACCTGACCATTGAGAGTGGAAGACGTGAAAAGATTAGCTGTCTTTGATAATAGGTGCCTGCGCTCTATCTCCTGTGTGAAGTGGTATAATAAGGTGAGCAATATCGAGGTTAGGCACTGGTCGAGTGCTAGGTAGGTGGGAGGGGAAATCAATCGACGAGGCTGTGAAATTACATCGACTGAGATAGTTAGGACATGTGTTACGTATGCCTAGTCATCGCCTTCCTCGACAATGGGTAATGTTAGCTAACATAGGGCCAGGCTGGAGAAGAGCTAGCGGAGATCAAACCAAAACATGACACCAGTCAATGAAATCTACAACAGTTAGTCTAAGCCACGTAGGAAGGTGTAGACTTCTTGGCTGGTTGGGGTCCTCGAGATGGTAAAAACCAGTGGTTTGGAAACTATTGGTGACATGGCTCAAAATCGTTCTCAATGCACAGCACATATGCATCCACTCCTTGTGACTTATGATTTCCAACGAAACTGTTTTGTTCTTCGTTATTACTATTCCTTTGTCTCACACCTCTGTTTACTGTCTCTAATATGCATTTCTTCTCTTGGTTTGTGTGCTACAAGGAGGGAGTGTGGCGACTTGAACTGTCGCACATCGGTGCAAAGTTCTATGTCGAAAACAGACAGACAGACAAGCCTTTACAGACCTCCATAGCAATTATTAACAGTATTCTAATCTGACTTCAATCGATGAATAATCTTGAAAAGTCCGCGTAGGATGGGTAGTGAGAAGTACACCATACTAATAGAGCATTTGAAGCCATTGACTTGACTGAGATCTTGAATCCTATCTGGGAGGTCGTGTAGTAACAAGAGCCAATCCGTAAAAACTGTCTGTCTTCCGGTAGCGCTACATAATACGGGTGACCACACTTCTATTTACAGCAACTGCTCCCGAGTATGGAGAACAGTAAACAGCATGGAAATCTATAACACAGAATTTTTAACGCATAAAAAAGGCATTGTTCCAAAATGATAGTTGCATTTCAAAGACAATATCCACGGCGTTTAGACAAGCTGTGTCTGGGCCTAAAACGATTAAATAGTATCGTAACTGGATGGAAGCAAGTATACGGAGATGGTGTAAAGGCAGAACAGTGGCAGCTGGCATCCAGAATCGTTTATTTGGCTAGATGATGTACAGTGATGGGGATATAAAAACCGTAAATTAAAACTTCAATTTACAAAAGTTGATCGATTTCTGCTTCTTTTGTTTTCATTTCATGCTTTCCATATCGCTTCACAGGGATCTTCATTCCTCCTATTCGAAAATTAATCAATCACTCAGCTGTTCTATATTTATGTAGAAGACATCAACAATATACTGTCTACAAGTTCTTATCAGTAGCACAGGTCACGACCTGTCAAAAAGTCCCAAGCGCAGCCACTTCAAATTCCTTAGTGATGAATGCTCTTGTAGAGTTTTCCATTACAATATAATGATCTCTGGAGTTAACACGTTTCTGTTTGTCTCCTGTTCTAGTGGTTAAAACAAGCCACGTCTCTCAATGACAGTGTAAGATCCTTCTCACTTATCCAGCTTGTGACAATTTACTTTCTTTCCCTAAACTTTACTTGGTCTCCGAAATTCGAACGCAAGGCATTTATTTTTTCCTCGAATTTCGTAGAGTTAACCTTCCATCTATGCTTCACATTTTGACCGCTTCTTTCAGTTCCGACTGCCATCTCTACACACCCCATTGTTGTTGACGTGGTCAGGCCTGATTGTATATTAATAGTAGCAGTTTTTATCCCGAATCAACTGGAACGATGACTTTGTTATCTGAACGGGAACACAATGTGCTAGTAGCACCAATTGGAGCTCTTTCTACTGGTCATTTGCTTTTGAGGCCGGACACCCACTTAGTTCGAGGTGACTGACCGATAGCTGCTACCTTGAGATGGTGGTCGGGCTTGCATATCTCAACGACGCAACAAGCTACACTGGCTGGAACTAATGTCCCTGCCATGCCAGGAAGGTTGTTGGGATAGCGATTAGACTGAAAGCAGTTACCGGATTCGTGTAAGAATCTTTCTTACACTACACTGGGAATCTGTGCGCGAAGTCGTACTGCTGGGGAACAGGGGTGTAACAGCAGTAAGGTGTTTTCCTGAGATGACCAGCATGCCAGTCAGCTATGCTGTCTCTCCAATCTGGAAAGACGGGATTAGAAAAGGTCGATCCCAACAATTTTACATCTCGACTGACCCTACGGTGGTCCGTCAACGACGGTAAATTTACTAATACGGAACCAATCCCAGAAACCAGTTCATACAAGCCATGTGTGACCGGCAGTGGAGAAGTAACAACCATCCACAAACTTCCAAAAGCAAACGAAGTCTTCCTGAGCGTCATTCTCTTTTATCACGTCACCCTCACTTCCTATCTCTAATGCCCTCACTTTTGCTAAGTATTTTTTATTGACAGTTGAAAATGTTTGCCCCGTGGGTATTAGAACACGACCAGCATATCTAATAACTCCTTCGCACTTAGTAGTGCCCCTATTTCCGAGTCACTCGCATTTGTAAACTCTGTGAACTGCTTTCGAAGTACAGGCATTTTTAAAATCATTTACTCATAGCCTAAAAGCCGTTTAATGAGTCAGAATATCTTGAGGGTTATTAAGCCAAGCAAATTTTGACATAGGGGCCTGTACAGAGGATTTGCCATATCATTAAAGCTTTTACTAAACCGAACATAAAAGTGTTTTCTCCTCAAGAAATATAGCAGTTTTTCCCTTGAATACAGGGCAGCAATGGTCTTTATCTTTTTTTCGGGCAAAGGTTTTATCTTACCGTTTCCCACTTAGTGTCTCAACTGCGTAGAGCATATCGTGCTGATGGGTAATCCAAACTTTTCAGAGCGTCTCAAAATAGCTGCTACATGTTCCACGTGTTTATTTTCTGTTGGACCATAGTTGACCGGTCGTCACTGCACACTTTCTTCGTTAAGATCTTAGGTAACGTCATTAGTCGTCTGAATGCAAAAATTGTACAACTGTTAATTCGAATAGCATATATTTAAACCAATATTGTCGCTGCCTCACGATGAACGCTTTATGATCTCTAACGCAATGTTTTTATCGAGAGCTGACAATATCTTGATTGGAGGTTTAGGACTGTAAACAGAGTAGCACTTTGTAGACGATCTAGGGTTACTCCCACAGACGACATGTCACAATGTTCCAATGCTGCTTTGTTCAACTGTCACAAATCAGAATTACGCCAAGAGCAGTAAAGAGATATATGAACAGTCAGTTTCTTCAATATCATAAATTAACTTTTCCTGAACTTGTCTTTCATATTCCTCTTCTAAGTGATGTCCAACTCCACATGTGGTGGATGTTGTCATTTCTCGACCCATCACTGGGAATTCATGCCTCATCTTATCACAGTAATCATACGGATTTTTGTCTCCAGTAAATATTGGCTTGTATCTTCAAACTAACATAGTAACATTTGGTATTTTAGCACCCCAACACCTGCTACCTCGCAGTGATCAGACAGAGTACTTTGTAATCACAGTCCTTTTCACTGTACTTACTTTCCGCAGAAAATTAACCCCAAGGATTATTCGCTGTAAGTGAGGAAAGCTTACTTGGAGATTCCTGATTTGGACGATGCAGTCTGAAACGCCAGACATTTTCAACATATGTCCATTTGCTATCTGGACTGTCAATGCACACAGTCTGTATCTGTTAGGTGTACAGATTTTCGGTCACTTATTCGAAACGTAAGTATCGATTTCCACGATAACTTCTAGTCCAGCTGGAAAGAAATGGCATACATTATATTGTCTAAAATGCCCTTCTCCGTTTGTCTGGAGGTGCTTCCGATAGTGACCAGGTTTGTCACATGCAAAGCCCATTCGCCACTTCCTGCTGTAAATCTTCAATATGTCATCGCCACCGACTCATTTCTAGTAATTATTTATTTAATAGCCATCTGATTACTTTCGCTAGCTCAAAAATGCATATCGTTTGTGTTACGTTAACCAGATACGGTTATTTTTGAATGGCATCCGGAACACTAAATAGGCTGTGATGCTGTTAACTAGTTAGTTAGAACTAAGTCATATACATATGACAGTTGATGACACTACCCACTTGCCCATTTTGAAGTAGATGGAGCAAGATTCGGAGGCGAGATCTGTCTGTCTGTCTGTTTTCGACATAGAACTTTGCACCGATGTGCGACAGTTCAAGTCGCCACACTCCCTCCCTGTAGCACACAAACCAAGAGAAGAAATGCATATTAGAGACAGTAAACAGAGGTGTGAGACAAAGGAATAGTAATAACGAAGAACAAAACAGTTTCGTTGGAAATCATAAGTCACAAGGAGTGGATGCATATGTGCTGTGCATTGAGAACGATTTTGAGCCATGTCACCAATAGTTTCCAAACCACTGGTTTTTACCATCTCGAGGACCCCAACCAGCCAAGAAGTCTACACCTTCCTACGTGGCTTAGACTAACTGTTGTAGATTTCATTGACTGGTGTCATGTTTTGGTTTGATCTCCGCTAGCTCTTCTCCAGCCTGGCCCTATGTTAGCTAACATTACCCATTGTCGAGGAAGGCGATGACTAGGCATACGTAACACATGTCCTAACTATCTCAGTCGATGTAATTTCACAGCCTCGTCGATTGATTTCCCCTCCCACCTACCTAGCACTCGACCAGTGCCTAACCTCGATATTGCTCACCTTATTATACCACTTCACACAGGAGATAGAGCGCAGGCACCTATTATCAAAGACAGCTAATCTTTTCACGTCTTCCACTCTCAATGGTCAGGTTTCACTAGCAGCCATAAAGGAGTCCATTATGGATATGATTTTATTTTGATAAATCACACAGTGTTGTACAGTTATATTAACTGATGACGTTTCGAGCACAAACTATTGCTCATAATCATATCAAGAGATATGGAGTTATACTCTACCATAGTGCCCAAGTTTTATACTTATAGCCATAAAGGAGGACGGAGCGGAGTGATGAGCAGTATGCACTCCCTTTGGTCGACAGCCAGCCGGATATCAGGTCTACGAAGCCATAGACGGTGTAAACTGGTATATGCGAAACTAGCCCTCTGTATCCGTGCTGAGATTTCTCCAGAGATCAACCCGTTGAGGCTGATGGTACTTCCCAAGTAAGTGAAGCGGAGGCAAGATCCATTGATTGAAAGTCAACGACAATAACTGCGCCTCAAACTCTTCGTCAAAAGTAGGAAGTGCGCGGCGCCAATCCTAGTGCTTCTCCATTTGGTCCAAGCTTTTTGGCAGGGAACTGTTGTCTGTCCTTTGGCTATAGAACTCCATAACCAACCGTTCTACTAATAACTCTCACCTGTAAGCTGAAGCCACCGAACCACTCAGCAACGTCTCCAGAACCATCCTTCTGCTGTCATATCCTGAACACCTAGCAACTCACCGAACACTTCAAAATCTCGTAGGAAGCTCCATTCGTCTCCCTCTTCGAAAATTGCAGGCCACGAGGGTTTCAGCTGATCGATAGCAACAACATATGTACCGGCAAAATAGTGGTATTTCTTATCGGGAAATTTTATTTGGCTAAATCATGTGCAGTGGTAGTAATAAAAAGACTATACATTAAAATCCCAACTTACAGAAGTTGACTGAATTCTGCTTCTTGTTTTCTACTCATGCTTTCCATTGGATCTTCATTTCGTTTCTCATTTTATAAACCTAATATTGGACGGTCAAACTAGTGTCACAATGGCGCTACAGGTAACTTGAGTTGACATGTACTTATTAACCTATTGATATGCGATTTGCGCTCTAAAAATGTATACCTCCACCGAAACGCAGCTGACTAAATAGAAGCAAGTCGACGAGCGTCTACTTATTCAAATGTATTCAGAAATACCTTACTGATGAATATAGATGGAACTGAATATGGGCTTGACCACGGATTCATATCAGGTTTGAGAACCAAAAAACAGAGAGTTTAGGACAACCGTTTCGTACTAGTTTGGGAATCATCGGCAGTACCCACCCACTGGGGTTCGAACTCCGCACCCTCCCCTTACAAGGCAAGTTTGTATGCCATTCAACCAATGGGACCCGATTTAATGGCCCATGAATTCTAACTTCTACCAATTCGTCATTTAGAGTGACCACCAACCTATGAATATCGCAAAAATATTAGTAATTAATGAGGCTGATATTGTCCAGTTTGGTACTGACAAGAGCTTGTAGACAGTATATTGTTGATGTCTTCTACATAAATATAGAACAGCTGAGTGATTGATTAATTTTCGAATAGGAGGAATGAAGATCCCTGTGAAGCGATATGGAAAGCATGAAATGAAAACAAAAGAAGCAGAAATCGATCAACTTTTGTAAATTGAAGTTTTAATTTAAGGTTTTTATATCCCATCACCGTACATCATTTAGCCAAACACCTAAGGCCACTTTTTCGAGGTGCTTGTGCTCAATGAGCCAGCGTGTTTAATTTTGAAGCATTCACTGTTTTTCCGGGTAATACCATCGTTTCGCCGCTAAAGCACAGCATCAATAAACTCATATAAGAAAGTTGAATAGTCTTTCATATTAAAATATAGTAGTGATATTTCGTATATATATATGTATGTATTAGTAGTGATAATACAAATGAGAAAAATTTCCAGCCCCCCAAGTGTCCGTATTCAGGAAAAAAAGGCATTGAAAAATATATACCTGAATAGTAAATGCATTCTTAAGAGATGAACTTGGTGACCGGAGCCAAACCTCGGTAAATCTAGCCTGTACATTTTTTTTTACACAAATTGATTTGAATCTATAGCCGTCCAGTTGTCGATTGCTACGTCTTGAATTAGTTACTTGAGCAATTCCGGAGTTCTCTAAACCAGGTCCAGAACTCACGCTACTACACGAACCCTGACGATAATAAATAATAAGTAAAGTAAAATGGTTAGTATCTCCCATGCTGAAGACAGCATGTTAAGTATAAACATTGAAAGTACCTCTTTCTTTGCAGTTGTCAGCAGAGGGACTATCCTTTGACTGACTGCTGACTGGTTTCAACATAGAACTTTGCACCGATGTGCATCAGTTCGAGTTGCCACACTTCACTCAACACACAATGCCAGAGAAAAAAGTGAAAAGAAATGCAAAAAAGAGAGAGTAAACAGAGGTATGAGGCAAAACAGAATATTAATATCAAAGAACAGTATATTTTTTGACACTATGCTGGGGATCTGTGGACAAAGTCGTACTCCTGGGGAACAGGGGTGTAACAGCAGTAAGGTGTTTTCCTGAGATGAACAGCATTCTAGCCAGCTATGCTGTCTCTCCACTCTGGAGACGGCCCGACCGAAAGCTGCTACCTTGACGTGGTTGTCGGGCTTGAACACCGCAATATCCCAACAAGCTATACTGGCTGAGACTTATGTCACTTGAGGTCCTACCATGCCAGAAAGGTTGTTTGGATAGGGGTTAGACAAAAAGCAGTTACCCAATCCAATACTATGATTCAGACAAATACACAAAATATCATGCCGGATCGGTCGGGGCCCAGATTAACAACGACTGCGCTTCCTGCTGCCGTGTCACAGGGCAGGAGTGATAAATATGCTACTGAGACACACCAAACAAAAAAGAACAAACAAAAACAGGCCGCGTGTGACCGGCCTCAAGCAGTTGTCCCCTGGGCTCTGTGGTCACGCAACCAACTTCCACGGTGTGGGCAGCCGGGAAGTAACAATCACCCTCACAATCCGACATGCACACGAAACCTCTCTAATACTCACTTATCTTTGTCTTCATCTTCATCTCTATTACCTTGCCTTCCTTCCACTGATGCAACTCCTCTACTTGATGGCTCTTCACTTCCTCTTCACTCTGTGTCCACTAAAAACGACGGAAGCCAAAAAACCACCACCGATAGTCTCCTAAAGCCACGCCACCAATTTCATATAGGAGCATTTAATGCTAGGACACTTTGCCAAATAGGACAACAAGCATCACTAGCTAAGACCCTGGCATCCCGAGCCATTGATGTATGTTGTGTTTCAGAAACACGCATACAAGACCCAAGTGTGGTTATTCACCTAACCCCACCTGGCCAACAGGATGAATCTTCAAAATTCACCTTGAGGGTGTCAGGAGATGCCACAGCTAGTTCACGAGGATTAGCTGGCGTAGGGATAGCTTTGAGTACTAGGGCAGAAAAGACATTGCTTGACTGGATCCCGGTAGATAGCCGAATGTGTGCTGTCCGTCTGAACGGATCAGTAAAAAGGAGAAAGGACTGCACTACTCGCCGATGCCTTTTCGTAATCTCCGCCTACGCCCCCACTGACTGCAGTTCGGATGAAACGAAGGATGAGTTCTACCAAAAGCTGTCTAGTTTGGTGCGAAAGGCTAAACGCTCAGATATAGTCGTTCTAGCTGGTGACTTTAATGCTCAAGTAGGGAAATTGTGTCAATCTGAGAAGGATGTCGGTGGCACCTATGGAGTTCCGTGCCAGCGAACCGACAACGGTGACCGTCTCCTACAGTTCTGTTCAGATAATCATTTGTTTCTTGTAAGCACTAACTTTAAACACAAGGAGAGACACTGTTTAACTTGGCGACCCCCTTCATCAAACCAACGCTGGACACAAATAGACCACATAGCAATAAGCTATCGTTGGCGTGGGTCGGTAGGAGATTGTCGCTCCTTCTGGAACACGTGTGTAGATACCGATCACGCACTGGTCCGGGCTCGTGTGTGCTTACGACTGAACGGACGTAGGAAACAGCTGGCGGTAAAACAATCACGTCCCCAGCTCGATCAGGAAACTAAATCCCTATTTGAGGAAGAACTAGCTAAACACATATCTGAGTTCGACAGCTGTGCTCACCCTGAAGAAGCCTGGAAGAATATTCAGTCAGCCATAGATACAGCTGTAAAAGCTGTGAATAAGGTAAATCCAAAGGTGAGTAAAAACCACTGGATTTCGACTGCCTCATCCGAACTGATAGATGCTAGAAGACTTATTCCGGCGAGCTCCGAATTCAATGAGGAGCGAAAGCTGCACAAAAGGAAACTTACTAAAAGTCTCCGCAAGGACCGTGAACAGTGGTGGGTGACAAAGGCGAAAGAGATGGAAAAAGCATCGGCGATAGGCAACACTAGGCAACTCTTTAGACTCATCAGGGAAACGGGTGAAAGAAGGCAAATCATAAGTGAGACTATTTCTGAGAAAAATGGCTCCTTAATTAGCTCTCAGGATAGACGCCTTGAACGCTGGAAAGAACACTTTGAGGAACAATTTAACTTGCCTACAGCCACACTGAACCTCCCCGCCATCCAGCCCACACCCGAATGGGATATAGACACTGGTCCGCCGTCTGTAAGTGAGGTCACAAAAGCTATCAGTAATTTGAAACGAGGCAAAGCGGCAGGACCCGACGGAATTATTCCGGAGGTGTTTAAATATGGGGGTGACATACTAGTTTATAGATTAACTGAGGTACTAGGCAAAGTCTGGGAATCAGAGACAGTTCCATCAGACTGGGGTAAGTCACTTATTATACCGATATTCAAGAAGGGAAACAAGTCCTCGTGTGATAATCATAGAGGGATCAGCCTAACGAACATAGTCTCTAAAATCCTAGGCTCAGTAATCATGCATAGACTAAGCAGAACTCGGGAGGAACAGACAAGGGAAAATCAAGCAGGCTTTAGACCAGGTAGAGGGTGCATAGATCATATCTTCACTCTTCGACAGATTCTAGAACATAGACACACTTTTCGGCGTCCAACAATTGCCATATTTCTTGACTTGAAGGCGGCCTTCGACTCCGTGGATCGAAAGGTACTATGGCAATGTCTGACTGTGAAGGGAGTGCCAAGAAAGTACATTGCACTAATCAAGGCACTCTATTCAAACTCACGTAGTCGTGTAAGGGCTTATGGGGAATTGTCATCTGAATTGGTAACAACCAGTGGTGTCCGACAGGGATGTCCACTTTCCCCATTTCTGTTTAACTTCATCATAGATATGCTAATGGAAGTATCCTTAACTGAACGTAACGACTTAGGAATCGACTTGTTACCAGGGAATTAGAATATGGACTTAGAATATGCAGATGACATAGTCCTGTTAGGAGAGGATGCTGACAAAATGCAGAGTCTTCTGAACACCTTGAGCAGCAATCTTCGTATGTTTGGCATGCGATTCGCCCCTGTAAAATGTAAGATGCTGCTACAGGACTGGACTACGTCAACTCCTAACTTAGTGATAGGGAGTGAAGTGATAGAACATGTTGACCACTTCACCTATTTGGGAAGTTGTATCAGCACCAACGGACTGATTGGCGTCAAAATCTCAGCACGGATCCAAAAAGCTCGAGCTGCTTTCGCTGACTTACACCATCTCTGGCGTAGGCGTGACATCCGGTTATCAACTAAGGGACGTGTGTACTGCTCAGCAGTTCGCTCCGTCCTTCTCTATGGCTCTGAAACATGGCCAATACCAGTTGAAGACATGAAAAGGTTGACTATTTTCGATCATAGATGTCTGCGATCTCTTTCTCACGTTAGGTGGTTTAATAAGGTAAGTAATGTTGACGTTAGGCGTAGAGTGTTGGGCAAAGAGGGAAAATCAATCGACGAGGCTATAAAGTTACATAGATTGAGATGGCTAGGTCACGTGCTGCGCATGCCTAACTATAGCCTCCCTCGACGGGCATTACTAGCTGATATAGGTGCAGGCTGGAAAAGAGCCAGTGGTGGCCAAACAAAAACATGGCATCAATCCATGAAATCCTTGACAGTTAAACTGAGTCAGATAGGGAGATGCAGACTTCCGGGTTGGGGTCCTCGAGACTCTAGGAATCAATGGCTGGAGACAATAGGTGACATGGCTCAAAATCGTTGTCAATGGCGCAGATGTATTCAGTCTTTGTAATCCTTCATATTCCTTTCTACTATTACCCATTCTGTTTCACTCTTATAATTGTGAAACTCTATTAGTTCTCTCCACTCATCTTCTTGTCTACCTTCGTGTGTTATTTGGAACGTGGCAACTCGAACTGCTGCACTTCGGTGCCCAGTTCTATGTTGAATCCAAACAGACAGGAGAGACAGAATTAGAAAAGGTCGATCCCAACAATTTTACATCTCGACTGACCCTACGGTGGTCCGTCAACGACGGTAAATTTACTAACACGGAACCAATCCTAGAAACCAGTTCATACAAGCCATGTGTGACCGGCCTCAAGCAGTTGTCTCCTGGGCTCTGCGGTCACAAAACACAAACTCTCTTTCTGTGTCAGGTACCCGAAGATCCAATCAACTTCCACGGTGTGGGCAGTGGAGGAGTAACAACCACCCACACACTTCCAAAAGCAAACGAAGCCTTCTAGAGCATCATTCTCCTTTACCCACATTACCTAATCATTACTGCAGTTTAGGTACACTGATAGGCTAGGAGATGGCACAGATTCGATAAACGGTGAATCTATCACATTTATATGCTGGTAGATCAATAGTCGGTGTGACTGAGTAAAATTTTATTGCAAAATTATTAGGCGAATATCATTCCATTAGGTTTCTTTATAATCATAATTCTATCCCTCTCATGAATAGAGTTAAATCACTTATAAGTGATATAATGAGCCAATCTCTGAAAACTATGTAAATACCTCCATGAAAAACAAAAAAGATATAAATAGATTTTTTAAAATACTAGATCAAAGCAATGCAGATAAGTTGACACACCTGGTCTGTGCGATGATGAGGTAGATTATTCATCTGACTCTCACAATTGGCTTCATTCAGCGGACTAGCCGGCGGTACAATAAATATCTTTGTGCCTTGTTGGAGATCCTCTGTTTTCAGAGACTGTATACCTATTTATTACCCAAAAGCCGAAAAAAGGAAAAAGTTTCAAATATAAATATCTCGGAAACGATACAAAAAATGGTATAATTAGATTTCACCAAAAGAATTTGTAATAAGTTCTTAAAAGACCTTAAGCAGAGCCAGAATTTTCACTACTTCAATAGCTAACTAGTTAGTATATTTGTATCATAGTTTTGGCCTTCTGTAAAGCTCATAATGGAGTCACCAAACGACTTCAAAAAATAATCCTACTTTGAATGTCATTTACGGACACAGCTTTACCTAAATTATTTGCCTGATAATAAATATCGCAGAGTGAAGACACAAATAACACGTCTTAGTTACCTAACAACCCCATCATTTCACTATATCTCCTACTAATACTCTATTCTTAAACATCACTTAGTTCATATAAAAAATGTAGACAAACATAATGATAATATAGCAATCCTGGTCAAACAAATAAGTCTTTCACAAATCTTGTACCATCTCCGACAATTTTATATAACCAAATAAGTACTCGAGAACATAGATATATGTAAAAGTCAACCTAAACTTTTGTATGATATAATTTCGCCAGCCATCAACTGGTGAAACTGACTACTTCATTCGTCATCGCAGACAATATAATCATGCATATCAATTCTGAAAACTGAAATACATTTCAATCACTGTGTTCAGAAAGCTACGTTATTTTTCCCTTGAGCCAACAAACCCACACCATCCGGATACTTCAAACTGATGAGAGAATCCTTAGTAAAAAACATAAATATCTCTGATATTTGAACAGGAATGAATTAGCATGAACAATTTTTCCGCAACTTACAGCTACATAAAGATGCGAAGAATAAGTACTTGATTAATTCTCAATCACTATTATAAGGTAATAAAAGTAGTAACAAATGTTATACCCCTTATTTGTTCGTGATAACACACCTGATGAGAAATCGTCCTTGTCTGGTTGCGTAACGTGAGCAAGACTCACTTCTGCATTGTCTACAATATCCAAAGACTGACTGCAATACATTTCTTCATTGATACCTGAACAATTTGCAGCGGAGTTATCATGAGCTAATAAGCTGTGTCTTGTTGATCTCCTGTTGGAGCACTGACGAACGGTTCTTGTCGCAGGGTCGGTCCTCGCAACTTTAGATGGACAGCTGTCTCGTGATCCTCCAGAGTATGGTCGTTTAGTGCCAAGTATGACAGAAACTTTGGGCCGTATTCTACTTCTTCCACCACTATATTTGGCTTTGATTTTGGCTGAGAGGGACGTGGATTTCTTCAAATCACCACGAGCCACAGTATAAGGATGAAGACGATACGATATACCCTTAGCGGACTCTACTCCAAACAATTGACCTCGAGAAATTAAGGTATTCAATGCAGACAAAGCATTTTTCTCAGACATATTGTAGCGATTTACACAAAGCTTTAGAACTAACTCTTGTACCGGACGCCTTCGTAACGTTTTCAGATAGGCGACGACACTCATTACCTTTGATAAGAGTGAATTAGTAAGGACAGAGTTATCTTCATTTTCAGAGTGAGATTCAGAGAGAGATGTATCTGGATCTGTCTTTACTTGAATACGCTTTCTGGGAGTTGATTTAGAGGCAACATTAGCAAGAGGTCTGGAATTTGGCGAAAGAAGAGACTTAGCACTCTGAAACTCAAGTGTAGGAGAAGCTTTTAACATGATTGTAACAGATTTTCGTGTATGTCCGACTGGGAGACTTTCTTGCCTATCAGGAGAAGCATCAGCCTTCAATTTCTCCGAAGCCATGTGCTTAGTACTTCTGGATCCGTCCTCACTTAAATTACTTGACTGCGGTTTGCGTTTCGTAGTCTTAGAAGCGCTAGGAGTAGTAAGTTCAAGTGAGTTGACAGTACTATCGGAATTTTCCCTAGTTTTCTCTGCGACTACTTTTTTGTCCTTAGCAACTCTGGAGCGACCGTGTCTGCTTGGACTGGGACCAGATAGGGGTATAGCGGGTGAATTAGCGATGTAGTCACCTTTAGAATTTACTAAATCATTAGAAGAGCTGGATGCTTGAGTATTCGAAGAGGTATTCGCATCAGTAACCAATAGAGGATGGGGAGAACCTAACCCACGGTTTTGAAGAGAGACAGAGTGGTTAGAATCGACTATCAAGTCTGACACAAAAGAGTCGGGTATATTTAAATCCATAGAGCTAGGTGCAGACCGACGTGGGGGTTTTCTTACTCCACTGTTTTCAACATATTTCTTGCAAGTGGATGGGGTTTGACTTTTTGTCGAAGAAATACTGCTTTTGCCTGCGGTTAGATCATCATCACTATCTTTATCTGATTTCGAAGATAAATCATGAAACTGATCTGATACGGAATTTATAGATTTTTTACGAGAAACAATAGGTAAGCGATAACGTCCTGTTTTGTGATATACTTTGCGTTGTCGTACGTAGAAGTCCCGAATTAATGGTAGACACGGCTCTCGGAGGCTCGTGAAAGTTTCCCAAGAATCGTGTTCAGGAGGAAATCCTTTCCATCGCACAAGATATTCTACTCGACCGCGTCGGACTCGTTTGTCTATTATGCTTTCGACCTTGTTAGAAAAAAATTAAAGGTATATACTTTAGAAAGACCACGTTCACATCAAAAGTCTAATTTTAAGAAAGTTGATCATAAAAACATTCGCAGTAGCACAACGATCTATCAAGTATTAAAGTTACGACTTCCATTACAACAGTTTTATAAATTTAAGGACTGTTATAACTACACGTCAAACGCTTTGCTGCATTTTTTTAAGGAAACTCCATCCTGACTGCAAAGCATTTGCATGCTCTACCTACTATTTATACCAGGACACTAGTTAACAAGACGTATGTATACCAAAAACTTTATTTTGCGTTGTAGCTTATTTGGAAAAAATGCTGCAGAGACTACTAAGTGACCAATAAACACAGATGGAGAGGAAAACAAGCTAATTTACAAAGACTGCAGCTAAGGTGCGACTGGGCTTATTATTTTACCCATAAGTATTTTGAATAACATTGCTTACAATCGCATTACAAATATGAGCTGACCGGAAATTCCCTACTAGAAGACGGCGATAGACTACACTACAGTACCTAAGAATGTGAAACCAAGGCACTAGCAACTGAGTCACTGACTTAGACGCTTAAATTCGTGACTGCAGAAAACATGTTCAGGAGTCAGTCTAAGTTAGTGTAGCCAGATATAACTGTCAGTGACAAGAGACGCGACTTGTGTTTCCGGACGAAGATGTTCCTCCATGCTCAGCTGCAACTTCTTAAACAAAATCGAGACACTTGCAGCCATTTTGACTGAAGAAAGAAAACAGCAACATATAAACTGAGCGTGTTGTCTACTATAACTTAAAAACTAAAATATAACCCGCTTAGCTGACGCCTAACAATTTCGTAATATATAGGAACTTTATTTACCGAATACGGTAGAATGTCAAAATGCATCTACCTATCCATGCTTGTTACCTCCCTGTCTAGAAGACTGAGAATTCCTGCTACCACTTTGTGGAGAATTTTATGGAGAAGCCAAACAGACGAAACACTCAGAATTACTGTAAATACTATTTCGCAATGCTCTCATTTAAAACATGAAACGTGGAAAGAAACGAGATACTTATATACGTCAATGAAGACTTTTCGGAGGAACGAACAGAGGGAATCTTGTCGCATTCTTGCAATTATGCAGATCATTATTGTCAACATTTAGTAATAACTCACTACACATAAATATACGAAATCCTTTTCTAGACGATGATGCTAAACAATTTTACATTTTAACACGAAACACCACCAAGAGATACGTGATACTGACCACTACCAGCCAGATTGGCGCATTCTGAACACACTCGTTACACTTCGGTTACCCTAAAAAAAGTCCGACGTGCTTACGTACTTTTGGGTGATACCCGAAGTCCAAATCTATTCCTAGTGATTTTCCAAAATATCATAAGAAAAAGTACCAACCACATTGGAAAGGCAAGATTTTATTGAAATGAAACATGCAGTCAAGTTCAAAACTTTGAGTGCGTCACAGATGCAACCTGAAGCTTAGTTAGAATAGGTTTTCATCGGGAGGATTGAGCAACTCGAATTACACCTCAAGATTCCGATGGCTCTTTTTCAAGAGCGATATTTTCACCAACACTGTTAAAAGTTGTCCTGAGGAAACACTGTTACTGTTTCAAAGACGTCACGGCGACAGATACAAGTGGCATACATGTAACGCGCAGAGTGAATTAAGACCCTGACCTTGAAGGCAAAAGCAGTCTCAAACCAATATTTCCAAGAAGCTCGAATTAATGCGTCCAACCTGAGGTACCACCAACTGTGAACTCCTCAAGATACCCGGAAATGTGATTTCACTAAGATGTCCAAAGAGCGGAGATCCGTAAATAACTCTAAGTTCGCTGGAAAATAACGTTGGTGTTTGAAATAAATATGGTGTGAATTATATCTGGCATGAGTTCAGTATTCACTCCCTTACCAAAAAAGAACTGCACTTCGCATCCCCAGACTCTTTCATCTTCTAACAATGGAAGTTCTTGACACACTGACCGACAGATTTAAGATAAGCGCGCTGTGTTCTGGACAGGGCCACCACCGATTATTGTGCACCGGGAATTTTACAAGGACAAACTAATTCCATATATTTTCAGGTAGTAATAATTGATTAACACGACCATAGCAGTGTCACTGACTTTAGAACAGAACGAAGACTTACTTAAATTCAAATATTCTGCTTCTTGTATCTGAGTTAGTTTTAATCTGTATGTAAAGGCTGAAATTATCCGTAACTTATCAAGGTCATTGGTGGAGTAAGACGCTCGAAGGTCATTTTCGTCCATGTTGGGTTGCAGTTCCGTAGCTGTTCGTGTACACGTTTGTTGTTCCGTTTATCCTGCCGTCATACACGACTTATCTTGTTGCGTATTGTTCACAAATGTTGCGTTTCACCTCATTTTTTGTTTCCGTTGCTGTTAAAATGAATTATTTCTTTGGTTTTGAAACTTTTCACAACCAGGTCAGTGCATTCATTTCGGTGTAATTGTTTCATACCTTGTATTTATGCGGCTTTCAGTGTTTTAGTTGGTTTTCAGCTGTTAATGAATTGGCAGTGTGTAGAAGTTTTGGAAATCATGCACATGAAGATGTTTGGCTGGCAGAAGCAGTTGTTTTCAGTTCATTTATTGGTTGCCGTTGTTCTTGTTGGGTCATTTAATTACCTAAGGTGTAGAAATCGTGAAAAAAAGTGTCTTTCTCGTTCAGGTTTACAGCATGCAACAATCTGCGAGTGAATCTGTTAAAGGGAACACCATCAGAGTTGATGTAGCAAAGTTTTCGAAGAAATTGAACCTGGAAAATTTAGAACCTGGGTTGAAGATGAAAAAGCTTTGAAGCTTTTTGAGAATGTGAATATACCATCCGTGTGTCTGCTATCATTTTAAAAAAATAACTTGTGAGAGAATCCAAGTAAAATAAGGTTGAGCCGCATGAAAAGTATGAATCTGTTGTGCTTGTGTGTATTTTGGGGGAACTAAAAGAACCTGGAATCCTTAAGGGTAAGTGTTACTTATGCTTATTATTGCTTGATGTACTAGATCCAAATACATGAACTAGGACTACCCGTAATAGAGCCAGTGTTAACATCCATTCAATGGGTTGCAAAACGGTTTTCAAAGCGGATAAAATACGATGATCTGGTAAGTGTACGAACAATCCCAGTTAAAGGTAAGACATTAATTAGGAAGAATAACGTTTCGGGTTGTAGTCTACGATCGGTGGTTTCCTCGAAGTTGTGATTTTTCCGTGATTATAAACACAGATGTTCACGATCTTTAAAAAAACTAAATAAATTTTCCTTAAACCAGTAGTCTTCTTTTCTTTGGCAAAACATCCATTGATACGATTATACGATGAGGTAGCGAAGTAAGATGTTATGTGACTGAGAATCGTGGTTGTTGTGTTTTGGACTAATTTCGCGCATCTGACTGTTATAACCGCATGGATATAGCGTTTTCCTCATGGTACATCATGATATCTAGAAATCATAAGCACGCTGCCATCGGTAAATTTATTTTTCTTTTTTAAATGACTGCAAATAGTGAGTCGTTTGAGGTGATAGGATGAATACCTCTGAACGTTTTTGGGGAGACTAGGGTATATTTAATTTTTTCGAGTAAGGGACGATCTTTTTACCAAGAAAGTTCTCAGAATTTTCGTTATTCAAAGATAACGCTAAGTTGCCCACTAAGGTGGTAGCTATAGGAGATTACCTTCAGCGGAAACTATGATAATGTAGTTTTAGGTAACGCGTCATAGAAGTAAGCATCGTAGGTTAATTGTGTCTAAATGTATTAAACGTTGTATAACTGATCAAACCATAGTTCTTACGTACGAGTTAGTTTTATAAATAATGAATGTACCGTACAAGCGTGTACCTTGATTTGCATACCTAGCTCATAAACATTATGCCTGCATGTGGCATACATTTAGGGCCAATACGCTGTGATGAATTAGTCCGAGATGCTTCAAGTCAGACTTCATTTCCATATTACTATTATCAATTTTGCAACGGTCATAGGAATTAACACCTTCAACTAACTTTCGTTTTACAGTCTGACATTTCGAAGGATTTAGTTTAAGAGCATGTTCTCACTCCTAATAGAGAGCTGTTCATCTTAGTACAGTGTAGCTGGCAGTTAACAGACATTGAAATAGTTAGGTCGTCCGCGTGCTTGAAAAAGTTCTTTTCGTATGCATTCGTACAATAAGTTCATCAAACAAAAATACAATTGGTAATGGACGACTTCCCCCTGACCTACAGTGTACTGCTTTCTCCCTGATAAATAAGAATGAAGCCATCTAACAATCCAATACTCAGTTTGAGTTTCAGCAAGCTTATCTGACAGAATATCTCTACTTACTGAGTGGAAAGCAAATGTGTGGTCTAGGAAGGAACACCGAATTTAGCCCCATTGTCTACACTGGGGAAAATATTGTGATACAAGACTGCAGCTGCATCTAAAGTACTTCTACTGTGTTTATAGGAGAATTGTTTGGGATCGTTAAAGGCTTTAAGTGAAGGTCGAAGATTAAGGAAGAGTAAATTTTCCTTAGTTCGTCTATACGTCATTTGCATTGAAACCAAGGAAGCAACTATTATTAACACTTGTGACACCAGAAACTTTAGCATTTGTGGGAGAATTTATGGCAGACTTGTTTAGTGTACACACATCAAATGAATAGGGAATACTGGAGGTAATTAGATGCATGAAGGCGTAAGTTATTAAATATCCATAAAGTAGATATGCAAATACCGCAGTTGTTGGTCATAGAAATGATGGATATTAGATAACATCGCATGATTCAACGGTATATTAGAAATAAATAAAAATTGTTTCTTAGCTCATTGTCAAGTGAACAGTCTATTTGATGATGTTACTGCATATTAACAGATTAGTGAAGTAGCTATCAGGCCTAAGTTACTACATTTACTTGTACTGCATACTTGGCGTTTAACAGTATACAGACTTGCAACTGGTTAGATAAGGTGATTTAAGAGTATCAAACAGTACAGAATTATTATTCAACTTGCTAAATCCCACTTAGCTTTTACAATGTGCTATTGTGTAGAAACAGACACGAAATCCTATTAATGACTAAAGTAACATTCTCATAATACTACAGTAAATCTCCATCCCACTAACTAAGCTTAGCGTTTATTATTCCTAATTCACTTATTACAAAAGCACATAGTATAGCAAGGAATCGAAGAAGTCTACAGGAAGAAGTAATCAAGAGTATATTAAACATTTGATTAATTTACAAAAGAAAATTCTGATGAAGGGTATTAAAGTTAGTTTGACCGAATGATGTTTCCCCTGATTTCATATTCAACAACCTCCGTATACCTGAAAAAATAAAGTACATGTAAGATTTAGCATAACATGAAGTTACAAGAGATAATTCTACATATTAGCATATACTATGAATACAATGATCCTGTTAATACTAAGCAATATCTCATGCAGATAAATGTATTTGTAGTCTACAGCTGATATTTATGTTGACGCCGTATACATAAATAGACATCACTACAAATGTCTACTTCTCACTCGGCGCCCAAATATTATAGAACTATTCTGTCAAATCTTGACTACAGTTCATTTGATTTATTTTGCAATCGAATTCAACTAACAAAAAAGAAACTATGTAATTGGCACAATCATCGTGTTTTCACTCTCCGTTATCTGCAACAGAACGCATATCCTAAATCCGTAGCTGTCCAGTCACCTGACAACTTCAGTAGGTCGAATAAAGCAGCTGAATTTTCAGAAAGAAGACAAAGTAGTAAGTTTGACAGGGTGCTTCAACTAAACTCTAATCCTAAACACTATAATTTTGAAAATACGTCTAATCATAAAATTCTAGATACTAGCAGTCTGAACAGACATGAAGGTGTGATGTTAGATGACGCATAGGAAATCCTGAATAATAAATAAGAATGGATATGTATCACTAACTAATAATACTTGGTCAAAGTTTCCCGACTGTCTATATCTACTTATGGAGACGTTAAGACATTGTTTTACAACTGTTTATCCGCACACACACACATACACAGTGTTTAAAGTATTTAACAAAGGTAGATCAATATTTGTAAGTCTGAGGTCAAATTTTGATCACAACTCGTACAATTTTGTTTATTATACTTCTTAATATTTGTTTTATAAATCATGATTGGACAAAGTTTTTAAAAACAGATGTTCCTTTCATATATAAACCTGTTATGTTAATTTCGATTAATTTCCCTGAAGAAGTTCGGACCAGATTTCCGAACGAAACGTTGGAATTACTCATTTCAGTATCGCTGAGATTTTACAAATATAATTTTTTTTACAAACATCGTATGTTTTCCTGTATTTGAGGATTATACGCAAATTTCAAGACAATCTCCGAAACATCCATACTATTGAGGGGTCATTCTCTCATCGAGCTTACTTGCAGATCAATTTCACACCAAATACTTTTACATGAAATGAAGTATTGCAAATGTGCAACTTAGAAATTAATCCGCAATCTCAGTAATTTCTAGTCCACAAGGTTTTGTGAATCCTACAGAAATCACATTTTCACATTTAGGAGACTATAACCATCTAGTATAAACTGAACATGCCTCAACTCTAGACAGCTATGCACAGTGCTAACAACATAGTGAAACACTTCAACTATTGTAAAGCACACAGACCTGTTGTGTTGATGAGGATAATAATGTCATATAATGCAAACTAGAAAATTCAATCGTCATAGTGCATCTGTACTGCTTTGTTTAAATGGAAATCTCAGGAGAAATTCATCTCCACTATTGGTGATCAAAAATATTGCAGCATTAAGTATACAGTCAGTGGAAATTGTAAAAGAGAATAAATTCATATTAATGATAATAAAGCTGAATAGATTCAGTTCTCGTAATCACCACGACTCATGCGTATAATCATACCGTGTAATGATTTAGTGCATTAATTGAAACAGCAAGGAAATTTAAACGAGTAATTGCCTTCTCCACTGCACCGTACTGGGAATAATCGTGATAACCCCCTTCGTTTGTTATCCTATCAGTCAGCTAAGTAGACAATGGCCCAATGTTATTACAGTTGAGATATTTTTGTACATTTAATTCACATAACCCATAGTACACTGCACCAACCAGTGCCAATATATATGAAATCCATTTAGAGATAAC